AAGTGAAACCTGTGAGCTGATCCTGGGAAAATGCCAGTTCTATACATAAGCTATTTAATTTTTCTGGATAGGGTGTAAAATAACTGTTAAAGCTATAAAAGATACCATATGGCGCCAAAGGAAGGGGGAAAAAGAGGTTGTTTTTCTGTTGTTGTTACTTGATGAATAGTTATTTCTCTATTCTCTTAAAAAAAAAATAAAGGTACCATTTAAGAGAAAAATTTCAAAAGTGTCAAGAAGACATATCCAAAATGGAAAGAAAGTTGAAAAGATAAATAAAACGAGCATTCCTTTAACTATATTTGGCGGAGTCCTGCAGAGAAAAAAATTCCAGCGAGGCAGCATTGAGACATAGTTTATTAATGTAGTTTCTCCCACAGCAGGACACAGAGAGAAATTGGTAAAACAATCACATAAAGAAATTATGACTCTTACATCTGATCTTTATGACTGCACCGAAAAGGAACTGTCCTCTTGAGTTGTCCTTGGGCCACGTTGAGGCAGAGATTCAAAGAATTGTTTCCCCTCCCAATCCCCACAATAGCACTACTTGCTCATACATGGTCAGAACAGACTGAAAGCTATGGCTCGTGTTTTGCACACTGTAGTAGACTGAGCCACACTTATGAATTAAAATCAGTTTAGAGGGTCACACCTAGCAATGGGAAGTAGAGGAAGAGGAAGAGAATAAAAATGGAATTGAATATGGAAGGTGTGCTGCATATGCTGCTATGGGAAACTTTGATTTCAGTCCTTTGAGTGTGTGTGTGTGTGTGTGTGTGTGTGTGTGTGTGCACCCTCGTCACACTGTAAAGTCTGTGACTTATTGTGAGTTCTGGTAGAAAAATCAACCAAATAAACAAAAAACTGGAAAGTTACCAATCAAACCAAACACCTCCCATTCCAGGTAAGACACCTGGAGTCAGAGAGGGGCAATGACTTTCCCAAGTCACACATGAGTCAGGAGTGGCCCAGGTCTCTTGACTCCCAATATCCTGTAATGATCAGCGTATGCTTGCAATTGGGTATCAACTGTGCCCGTGGTTTCCAGACCACCTTGGTAGCTTACTTTCTATTCCCTTCTGGAGCAATCCAAGCGGACTTCCTTCTCTCCTCTTCTGCCCCTTCAGAACTTATACCATATGGGATTAGAGGTCCTGTGGGATGGGACAGATGTGTGGGGAGACAAATAATGAGTGCCCAGGCTTGGATCATCCCGGACTATTGGGTAGCTCAGAAAATGCAAATTCTACAACTGACGAGATACATGGGAAGCTGATGAGATACATGAGAAACAGAATCACAGCCTCCCTGTGAAAAAGAGGGAGTGCGTGTGACGACGCATATTGAAGGCATTCTCAGGAAGGAGACAACCAGCTGACAACTGTGGGCTTTAGGTAATTCCTGCCAGACTCAGGCACTCTGGCTGGTCTTCCTAGGCCAAAATCGAAGCATGTAGAAAGTCTTCTGACTGCAGAGATATGGCAGGATTATGAAAGAGGATCCTGCCTGGGGCTCCAAGTGGCTCTGGTTTTGACTTAGAGGAGAGTGTGTGTGTGTGTGTGTGTGTGTGTGTGTGTGCACCCTCGTCACACTGTAAAGTCTGTGACTTATTGTGAGTTCTGGTAGAAAAATCAACCAAATAAACAAAAAACTGGAAAGTTACCAATCAAACCAAACACCTCCCATTCCAGGTAAGACACCTGGAGTCAGAGAGGGGCAATGACTTTCCCAAGTCACACATGAGTCAGGAGTGGCCCAGGTCTCTTGACTCCCAATATCCTGTAATGATCAGCGTATGCTTGCAATTGGGTATCAACTGTGCCCGTGGTTTCCAGACCACCTTGGTAGCTTACTTTCTATTCCCTTCTGGAGCAATCCAAGCGGACTTCCTTCTCTCCTCTTCTGCCCCTTCAGACCTTATACCATATGGGATTAGAGGTCCTGTGGGATGGGACAGATGTGTGGGGAGACAAATAATGAGTGCCCAGGCTTGGATCATCCCGGACTATTGGGTAGCTCAGAAAATGCAAATTCTACAACTGACGAGATACATGGGGAGCTGATGAGATACATGAGAAACAGAATCATAGCCTCTCTGTGAAAAAGAGGGGGTGCATGTGACGACACATATTGAGGGCATTCTCAGGAAGGAGACAACCAGCTGACAACTGTGGGCTTTAGGCAATTCCTGCCAGACTCAGGCACTCTGGCTGGTCTTCCTGGGCCAAAATCGAAGCATGTAGAAAGTCTTCTGACTGCAGAGATATGGCAGGATTATGAAAGAGGATCCTGCCTGGGGCTCCAAGTGGCTCTGGTTTTGACTTAGAGGAGAAAAGTATCTACCCCACCAATAAACAAACACTTACAGTGCATAGGCTATGTGCCAGGCACTGTTCTGAGGATATCACAAATATTTACTCGTTTAATCCACATAATCAACCCCTCAGCCTTAGAGAGCTCTGCTAGCCGCCGTCGTGGGCAGAAGGTTGAGAAGTGTTGAGATGTGCTAGAATAATTTGTTTTGCTTCCTGATTCAGGAGGGCAAGTATCTTAATAGAGTTTAGAACTATGTCACTGACAATGCGAATTAATCAACAGTCAAATCCACAGAGAAAAAGTCGACTGCCTACTTTCTCTTGGCAGAAGGAATTGGGAGGATTGTTCTTCTTGCAAAGATTCATCACCTTTTGATGCTTTCCAGAAGTGGCGATGAATTTGCAAGGAGCTATCTACTTTTAATAAAATCTCCTCATATAGTTATGCTATAACTCCCTTCTGCAGAGTCTGCTTAGATCCTGAAACAACCCACTCAAGCCCATGTCGAGGTCAAACCTGTGCCCTTGGCCATATGATCCAGGGCTTTCCATAGGGCTAGACGAGGTCCTCAATGTGTTGAATTAATTTATTGCCACACTTCAAAAACCGAACCTGACTTTGAAAACTGCTAGATTTGGTTTTGATGATGAGAATTATTCGTAAAAGTTTACTGAAGTGTAAGAAGGGCAAGTTTTGTTAAAGATGAATAGGAAGTGAGTTTTTTTTAAAAAATACTTACGAGGTGCCCTTATGTTTTATATGTTAAACATTTAAATCCCAGCATACTCTGATTGAATCTCCATTTCATAGACAAGGAAACTAAGTTAAATGACTTGCTGAAAGAAAATAGGTGAGGGACAGAATTCAGAATATAGTCTCTGCAGAACCCATTACTCTTTCCACATCATGCTGCAGTCTGGAAGCTTTTTTCCCCTTCACCTGCAAAATGATTTGGCCCTAACAGCATTCACTGACCATGGCAAAACTTTAATTGATCTTTCTGTCCCACAGCCTACCGATTATCCACGAAGAATAAGCAAGTTAAAACCTGTTCTCTGTCATTAAGTCTTGGTTCCCTTAACAACTCCACTATGTAATTAAACTTATTCTCGGCCAGGCAAATACGGTTCACTAAAGAATCTAAGAAGTCATTTAAATTATGCTTGGTTTCTTGTTCTGGGTTACCCATGGTCAAGTCTGGGCTTGGAGCTGAAGTTTAGGAGGAATGTGGAGAATGCTGTTGGCCCAGAACTCACCAGTGTACAAATGAGATGGGAGTCAGGGTGTATTTCATGCACAATCTGTGAAACTTTGAACTTATCTCTGGTCATGGTTTTCCTTGAGGACCACAACGGGTAAAAATGCAGGTTGCTGAATAGTTATCCTTTCCTCGGAGCAGCCTCCCTTGATTAGGCAGCAAATCTCATAGAGTTATTCATTGGTTATCAGAAATGGAAAATGTTTCTTTTTGAAAGGTAATTATCAGAGGTCTCTCTCTAACACTGTATTGAAAAAAGATATATTTGTCATTACCAGTACATTGTGGCTATATTATGAAAAAAATTGGCTATCACTACAAAGTTTATGGATTCTATTTTTTTTTTCAGTTGAGATAAGATTTGGCTCAGCATAAGGCACTGAAACATAAGGGTGGCATTAAATTGTAGTTAAGTTACACGCTGTGTTGCCATGCAGAGTGAGAAGGGAACCCACAGAGATTTAATATCTTCAGGAGTCTATAAAACTCCAGGTTTATAAATACTAGTCAAAGAAGACATTTTAAAGTAAACAAAAGTTTACTTTGGAGTTAAAGGTCATTACATAAAACAAAAGATAACAGGCAAGATCACTTGGACCCAGACATCGAATAAAATGCCAAGATAAAACACCAATGGCTTGTAAAACAAAAAGCCACTTTTCCCCTCCTCCATGGGTCAAAAGAAGTTTAAGACAATCCAAAAATATTTTCTAAATTTAAAGTCCCCAAGAAGCAGAGGCCAAATGTCAAATACAAAGCACTGCACACTTTTTTCCCCGGTCTCCCAATGGCTGCTCTGAGGGGACCGTGCTATTACGACCTGGAAAAATAAACAGTATCATCTCTGAACAGAGCTGGATGCTGAGTCCAGATGTTGGAGATTATGATCTCCTGGATGCAATGGAATTTATGTCAGGAGATTAAAGAGAAGAATTAATTTACAACTTTCTCTACCTGTTCGCAATGTGTTCAGCTTATTATTTGTACACATTGTGATGCACTGTAATTACAATGCTGCAAACAATGGTGCAACATGTAAAAGTTTAAAAAGGGGGAATTTGTCATCTTATAGTCTGCACATCTGGTTCTATCATAGTTGCCACATGATTAATATAGGAATATATTACAGTGAAATCCCTTTATATCAAAGTTTTATTTGCCAGGAAATAGAATACTTTCCCCTCTCTCTCCATCTTCCCCCACAGGCTATGCTGAAACCTGAAATTTCCAGCACCAGGGTTCATTTGAGTGAGCAGAACAGGGAATCTGTTCTTGTCTTTGTGCAATTAATTCTATAAGTTCCATAGTCACAAGTGAGTTGTTTGTTTTAAAAGCGCATCCATAAAGGAGAAACCCTAAAACTCATTCTAAAACCAGACAGGGCATCAGATACCTCCAACAGTTAAAACCATCAGGAATTAAGTTCTAAATTTTAAACTCCCTTTTATTGAAATATAAGTTTGTTTAGTATATTTACACCACACTTTATCACATATATACATAGTAGGCAAATTTTGTCAAATAAAAAAGTTTTTTTTCTCAATACAAAATTAAAATAAAAACAAAGTAAAGTGCATGAAACTGATTTTTTTCTTCTTCTGGTGAACATCATCATTGTCAAAATTTTGGTCGATTGGGGGAAAGGGGGTTAGAAATGCATTATGTGATTCAGTGCACACAGCCAGCCAGTCCCACACTTGCAGCCTTCAGGCCAAAATGACAAGCGGTAAAGAACAAGTCAGATACACAGAGTCTGCAGGGCTCCCCAGGTTCTGGAGGTCCTGATCTCTTTGTCTTATCCGGATCCGTTCCCCAGCTCTTAACAGTGATCTCACCATCACCAGCTGGAACAAAGGGAGAACACAGGAAGGGGGCTCCACCAGCCAATGTCACAGCCGCCTCTGGCCGCCAGCGCTGCGTTTGGTAGAAAACTGCAGAATGAGCTCAAAGGCTCAAATAGAAGTTTCCCTTTTTGGGAAAGAGGAGGAGGTCGAGGAATAAGGAGGCATCTCCCACAGAGACAGCCACGGGGGGGGGGGGGGGGGGGGAAGGGCTAGCCAGTTTCTCCCGATTCAAACTCCCTGCTGCCACAGGGAAGAACGCTTTTATAAGCCGGGTGGAGGGGATGTTATACTTCTCACCTGGGTGAGTTCTCCCAGAACTTTGAAAGGAAACAGCTTTGAGACAGAGAGAAAGGGGGCAGGTAGGTGAAACTGAAGTTTTCAGCAGCCTTCTTGCTCAAGCCACTGGCAGGGCGTTGGCTGGCTGGTCCCAGGCGGTGGCAGAGGCGACAGCCCTTCCCCCATCATCCATTTCCCCGGCCAGGGGTTTCTCTCGCTCGCTCTCTCTTCCTCACGGTGATATTAAGTCCCAGGTCTGCGGCCGTACTTGGCCTTACAGTGCAAAATGTGCTTGGCAAGGAAGTCGAGGCGGCGCTGTAGTAGCTGAGCATGGGGATGGGCGAGCTCAGCCAGCTCCGGGAAGCGAGGCTCGTGGTGCTGGTAGAGGCGCATTTTTCCAGCTCCAGGACGCGCCTCGCTGTCCGCTCTCGGAACACACACACCGACTGCAGCAGCGGCTCATTGTATTTGTCCCACATGCCCGCCACCCGGTAGCCGTGCACCAAACCCGCCTCGTTGTCCAGAAAGACCAGCGCCCCGCCGGGGCCGCGGTGCAGGTTGCTGGTGGCGCGCTGCATGACGCGCGGATCCCACTGCAGGCTGAAGAGGTTGCTGACGAGCCGGTCGAAGTTGGCCGTCAGGTAGTCAAAGAGGATCAAGTCGGTCCATTGCACCAGGTCCACCAGCTCCTCCCGGCTGCGGTTGGCTAGCTCGCCCC